TTAATTAATTTTAATATATTTTTATTTTGAAAATAACCTTTTTATTTATTAAATTTTATCATTTTTAAATCCATTTTTTTATCATGAACATCAATGAAATTATTTACAAACTTTCACAGTCTTTATTTATTTCTTACCGTGTTTCCCTAATCAACAAGAATTTCTCTTCAAACACAAGCTAAATGAAATGCTATATCATTTTTCTCTTCTTTCAGAGAGAAGAAAAAATTAGAAATTTCTTTTAATTCAAATTATTAACAAATAATTAATTTTTATATTTTTAATTATTTTTAATTTTTTTCTTATTATTATTTTCACTTTGCTTCATCCTAACGTTTACAAATTTATTAACAAACAATAAATGTGAGAAGTTAAAAAACTAAAACAACCATAAATTCAAAAATTAAAAAGGCAATTTGGGATGCAAACAAAATAGATTCATACTTTATCTTGTCTTCTGGATGCATCTAGACCACCTTCAAAAAAAACAAAAAAAAAATCATTAAATATATCATTACACATCAAAGTGTTGAAAAAAATTACAAAATGTAGCTCGTGGTGATGGAATTAGTTGATGATGGAAATGTTGTAAGAATGAAAAAATATATGTAATTCAATTGTATTTCTTTTATAATCTATTATACTCATAAATGTTAAGTATACAAGAAGCTATAATCTATCGTGACTTTTTAATACCTATGGTTACAATATAAATTTTAAATAGTTCTATTATTAACATTTTATTAGTATACTTTTATATTGCAATAAAATAAAAATATTAAAATAATAATTAAAATAAATAATTTTAATTTCATGTTTCATTGTTATACGTTTTCTATTACAGAAATAAATAATTAAAATAAAATAATTAATGTAATATTTTATTGATATCTATATTTTATATTATAACTAAAAGTAAATAAAATAATAAATATAATAAAATCATATACCTTAAATTATTACATATTGTAAATTAATTAGTTTTAACATATTTTTATTTTGATGTTATCTTAGCTTTTCTCATCTCTTACATAGAAGATAAAATTAGAAAATTCTTTTAGTTAGAATTTTTAATATTTATATGAACAAATAATTAATATTTGTATTTTTAATCATTTCTAAAAAGTTATTTCTTTTCTTTGTTATTATTTTCACTTTATTTCATCTTAACGTTTGCAAATTTATTAACAATAAATGTGACAATTTAAAAAACTTAAAAAAAAAACCAAATTCTAACATCAAGAAAGCAAAATGAGATAGACATAATAATTACTTTATCTTGTTTTGTTTGAGCATGTAGACCACCTTCCAAGAAAACCTAAAAATAATTTGATGAACAAAATGTAACTGATAATTCATTAAATTATTTTGTGGACCATACTCAAGAAAAAGGAAAAAAACAAAAAGTGATTAATAGTCATAAATAATGATCATGTGATGAAAGCTCCAAATGCACTAAACATGTGTCTATAAATATAACATTGTCCTGAGNCACAAGATTGAATCACTCAGATAAACCTCTCTGTCAAAATGAAGACTGTCTTTGTATCATTCTTCACTCTGTTAATTGTGTTAGTCTTCACAGTTACTGCCACAAAGCCATCAAAAGGCTTAACCTGTGAGCAGGAATTAGCCTTAGCGAGGCCATGCTTAGAATATCTAACAAAGAAAACTGAGGCCCCTTCAACTTCTTGCTGCGATGGGATGAAAAAGATCATATCTTCATCACCTACAAAGGAAGAAAAACAAGCTGCATGTACGTGCCTAAGGGAAGCAGGCAATCGTATTCCTAACCTGGACAAACTCAGACTCAATAGTCTTTGCAAAGATTGCAAAATCAAGCTCCATAATCTCATGTCCAATGACTTGAATTGCATCATGTAAGAATTTTTTTTACGTAGTCGATGTTATTAGCTTTCACTCGTTTGCTTTCCTCACATTGTTTTTCCTTTCTTTTCTTTTTTTTCAGACTTGATTAAGCTAGGAACGGTGCATTATGCTGGGAGTTTTCTATTTCTGTCACAAAATAACATTGTTTGTTGAACTTCTCTCAACAAACATTTATGTTGAAATTAATGATCAATGAATATGCTTTTTATATATTGTTGGTGTCTTCTGTTAATTTCTTTCCATCTAATTATGATGAACCATTTGTGTTTAATGTTTAAAATCTTGAGTCTAATCCAAAATAAATCCAATAGAAATAAGCTATCATTTTATACATGAAATTAGTTAGGCTTTGTTACATGTTAGATGATGAGATCGGTATAGATTATTTAATGTTGTTAAAATGGCTCATCCAGTCTGGTTTATCACGAGTTTGAGTCCATCCAATCCGGCTCATTTATTAGCGAACCGAAAAAATTCGAACCCGACCTGACCCATCACGGATGGATAGGTTAAACAGGTCGGTTCCCTATTTACAAGTTTTTTATTTTAAATAAAAAAAATTACAATTATTTTGTAATTAAATTTAAATAATTTCAATTTAGAATCATGTTAAACTCTAAAGACAATTCAAAATAAAAAAAATTAACATACAACTCAAATATAATCCAAAAACAAACCTAAAAAGCAAATAAATAAGTTTACAATATTTGATAATTTTTGTGTCATTTATTCATTTATAATATTAGAGTCTTGAATGGATAAACTTATAATATTTTGCTCTCTTGAAACATATCTTTTTCTTTATTCCCATTTACAGTACAATAAAAAAACATGTTAACTAATAATATTGAAACACAAAATAATAAATAATTAAATTAAACTAGGTGTGTTAGTGAGCCGCTCACCACGGATTCAACCCGGGTTAAAAATTAATCCATATAAATTTTTTTTTTCAAATCCAACCTAACCCAAACTCGTGATGAGTTGGATTGATCTACAAATTTTAATTCATCTTGACAACACTAATATTAATAATTCTTTTCACACAATATCTAGCATATCGGTGAAAAAAGATATATAATTCCTGTATATTTCTCTTTACAATTGCGTAAATTAATCAATTATACAAAAGTCTATAATCAATTTTGATTGTTTATCATTACTAATATAAACTATAAAAATGAACATTTATAAAATTTAAATAATTATGTTGTTAACATCTTTTTAGTATGTTTTTATATTTTAATACAATAAAAATACTAAAATAATAAATAAAATAAAGTATTTTAATTTAATATTTCATTATTATATGTTTTCTATTACAGAAATAAATAATTAGAATTAAAATACTAAAATAATAAATAAAATAAAGTATTTTAATTTAATATTTCATTATTATATGTTTTCTATTACAGAAATAAATAATTAGAATTAAAATAAAAAAATGATAAATAAAATAAAATAATTAATTTAATATCTTATTGATATATATTTTATATTATAATTAAAAGTCAATAAAATAATAAATATAATAAAATTATATAGTTTAAATTTCTATATTGTGTTAATTAATTAATTTTAATATATTTTTATTTTGAAAATAACCTTTTTATTTATTAAATTTTATCATTTTTAAATCCATTTTTTTATCATGAACATCAATGAAATTATTTACAAACTTTCACAGTCTTTATTTATTTCTTACCGTGTTTCCCTAATCAACAAGAATTTCTCTTCAAACACAAGCTAAATGAAATGCTATATCATTTTTCTCTTCTTTCAGAGAGAAGAAAAAATTAGAAATTTCTTTTAATTCAAATTATTAACAAATAATTAATTTTTATATTTTTAATTATTTTTAATTTTTTTCTTATTATTATTTTCACTTTGCTTCATCCTAACGTTTACAAATTTATTAACAAACAATAAATGTGAGAAGTTAAAAAACTAAAACAACCATAAATTCAAAAATTAAAAAGGCAATTTGGGATGCAAACAAAATAGATTCATACTTTATCTTGTCTTCTGGATGCATCTAGACCACCTTCAAAAAAAACAAAAAAAAAATCATTAAATATATCATTACACATCAAAGTGTTGAAAAAAATTACAAAATGTAGCTCGTGGTGATGGAATTAGTTGATGATGGAAATGTTGTAAGAATGAAAAAATATATGTAATTCAATTGTATTTCTTTTATAATCTATTATACTCATAAATGTTAAGTATACAAGAAGCTATAATCTATCGTGACTTTTTAATACCTATGGTTACAATATAAATTTTAAATAGTTCTATTATTAACATTTTATTAGTATACTTTTATATTGCAATAAAATAAAAATATTAAAATAATAATTAAAATAAATAATTTTAATTTCATGTTTCATTGTTATACGTTTTCTATTACAGAAATAAATAATTAAAATAAAATAATTAATGTAATATTTTATTGATATCTATATTTTATATTATAACTAAAAGTAAATAAAATAATAAATATAATAAAATCATATACCTTAAATTATTACATATTGTAAATTAATTAGTTTTAACATATTTTTATTTTGATGTTATCTTAGCTTTTCTCATCTCTTACATAGAAGATAAAATTAGAAAATTCTTTTAGTTAGAATTTTTAATATTTATATGAACAAATAATTAATATTTGTATTTTTAATCATTTCTAAAAAGTTATTTCTTTTCTTTGTTATTATTTTCACTTTATTTCATCTTAACGTTTGCAAATTTATTAACAATAAATGTGACAATTTAAAAAACTTAAAAAAAAAACCAAATTCTAACATCAAGAAAGCAAAATGAGATAGACATAATAATTACTTTATCTTGTTTTGTTTGAGCATGTAGACCACCTTCCAAGAAAACCTAAAAATAATTTGATGAACAAAATGTAACTGATAATTCATTAAATTATTTTGTGGACCATACTCAAGAAAAAGGAAAAAAACAAAAAGTGATTAATAGTCATAAATAATGATCATGTGATGAAAGCTCCAAATGCACTAAACATGTGTCTATAAATATAACATTGTCCTGAGTATTCCATTCATCCAAAATCAAAACACAAGATTAAATCACTTAGTGTCAAAATGAAGATTGTATTTGTATCATTTTTCATATTCCTGGCTGTGTCAGTCTGTACAACTGATGGCTTAACCTGTGAGGAGGAAAAAGCCTTACTGAAGCCATGCTTAGATTATCTAACCAAGAACACCGATTCCCCTTCAACTTCTTGCTGCGATGGGTTGAAACAAATAATATCTTCAACACCTACAAAGGAAGAAAAGATTGCTGCATGTAAGTGCCTAGAGGAATCAGGCTCTGACGTTCCTAACCTAGACAAAGACAGAGCCAATAATCTTCGCAAAGAGTGCAAAATCAATGTCTATAATTTCATGTCCGATGACTCTGATTGCGAAAAGTAAGACTTCTTTTTTTACTACTTATACAATTCGTGTTAATAGTTTTCATTCATTTGCTTTTTCCTCTCATTGCTTTTTTTTTTTTTTTTCAGAATTATAAGCTAGGAAAGGGTGGATTCTGCTGGGAATTTTCTATTTCTGTAACAGAATAACATTGTTTATTGAACTTCTGTCAACAAATATTTATGTTGAAATCAATGAATAATGAATATGCTTTATATATATATTGTTGCTGTTTTCTATTCACTTCTTTTCATCCAATTATGATCAATCATTTGTGTTTAATTTTCTTAACAGGATGCGTAGTAAAAAACAAAATTCTCCCAGGTAAAGAAAGAACTTAATAATATTTTTATGCTTACAATGTTATATTTAAACACTATCCATTTCATGTTTTTTTATGGAGTATTACGAAAATAGTTGGAAATTTTTTCTTCAACATTTTACTTAAGGCAGGAATCTTTGGACTTTACTGGTGTTAGTTCTTGTTTGTGAATTTTGATCCTTTTTTTTACCTTCCCACTAAGGCTTCTCTGTTTTTCCCATTCAGAATCATTTATTTTTGTTATATTCTGGGGCAAAATCAGAGAGTAAGAATTTTCATATACAAAAAGAACTGAAGGCTTACCTTTTGTCAATGACCAATACCTAACTTTACCACCATCTAATATATTAATTATACCCCTCTGATGATTTCAATTGTGTTTGTGTTTGAGAAAATTATATTACAATGACAAACAAATAAATGAATAAAGCAAAGACCAACAAATTGTAGCGTGTAAGTTACTCGGTAGGTAAGAGAGAGGATAGAGATGAGAGAAAAAAGAAAAAAAATTGAATAAGTAAGAAAAATGGATTAGAAGTAGGTGAGTGTTTTTGATTTTTTATTTATTTTAGGTTTAATGTCTCTGTAGGTTCTTATTTTGTTCCAGAATTTCAATTAAGTCCCCTTTTTTTTGTCGATTGAGTCCTCATTTTTATAAAATTGTAACAATTAAAGGCCTGCCGTCAAATTGGATAAACGGTCATTTAATTGTTTCGTTACGTGGCATGGACACCGTTTTCACTAATCGTGGAATTAAAAAAGAATTTAACCTCATATTTTTTAATACAAAACTCCTTTTTAATTCCACGTGTGATTAGTGAAAACAGTGCATATGCCACCTAACGCACAGTTAAACGACCATTTGTCCAATTTGACGACAGGCCTTTAATTGTTACAATTTTACTTTACAAAAATGAGGACTCAATTAAGACGACAAAAAGAAAGAAAACTTAATCGAGATTTTGGGCCAAAATAAGGACTTACAGATACATTAAAACTTTATTTTACATTAAAAATTAAAATTATTAAAATATTCTTTTGTTTAAAGTATGTCTTTTTTTATGAATAAGAATTTTTTTTTCTATTAAAACTTGGTACACTCTACTAACAAAAAAAACTTATACAAGTTAGCAAATATATATATATATATATANTATTATATGTTTTCTATTACAGAAATAAATAATTAGAATTAAAATACTAAAATAATAAATAAAATAAAGTATTTTAATTTAATATTTCATTATTATATGTTTTCTATTACAGAAATAAATAATTAGAATTAAAATAAAAAAATGATAAATAAAATAAAATAATTAATTTAATATCTTATTGATATATATTTTATATTATAATTAAAAGTCAATAAAATAATAAATATAATAAAATTATATAGTTTAAATTTCTATATTGTGTTAATTAATTAATTTTAATATATTTTTATTTTGAAAATAACCTTTTTATTTATTAAATTTTATCATTTTTAAATCCATTTTTTTATCATGAACATCAATGAAATTATTTACAAACTTTCACAGTCTTTATTTATTTCTTACCGTGTTTCCCTAATCAACAAGAATTTCTCTTCAAACACAAGCTAAATGAAATGCTATATCATTTTTCTCTTCTTTCAGAGAGAAGAAAAAATTAGAAATTTCTTTTAATTCAAATTATTAACAAATAATTAATTTTTATATTTTTAATTATTTTTAATTTTTTTCTTATTATTATTTTCACTTTGCTTCATCCTAACGTTTACAAATTTATTAACAAACAATAAATGTGAGAAGTTAAAAAACTAAAACAACCATAAATTCAAAAATTAAAAAGGCAATTTGGGATGCAAACAAAATAGATTCATACTTTATCTTGTCTTCTGGATGCATCTAGACCACCTTCAAAAAAAACAAAAAAAAAATCATTAAATATATCATTACACATCAAAGTGTTGAAAAAAATTACAAAATGTAGCTCGTGGTGATGGAATTAGTTGATGATGGAAATGTTGTAAGAATGAAAAAATATATGTAATTCAATTGTATTTCTTTTATAATCTATTATACTCATAAATGTTAAGTATACAAGAAGCTATAATCTATCGTGACTTTTTAATACCTATGGTTACAATATAAATTTTAAATAGTTCTATTATTAACATTTTATTAGTATACTTTTATATTGCAATAAAATAAAAATATTAAAATAATAATTAAAATAAATAATTTTAATTTCATGTTTCATTGTTATACGTTTTCTATTACAGAAATAAATAATTAAAATAAAATAATTAATGTAATATTTTATTGATATCTATATTTTATATTATAACTAAAAGTAAATAAAATAATAAATATAATAAAATCATATACCTTAAATTATTACATATTGTAAATTAATTAGTTTTAACATATTTTTATTTTGATGTTATCTTAGCTTTTCTCATCTCTTACATAGAAGATAAAATTAGAAAATTCTTTTAGTTAGAATTTTTAATATTTATATGAACAAATAATTAATATTTGTATTTTTAATCATTTCTAAAAAGTTATTTCTTTTCTTTGTTATTATTTTCACTTTATTTCATCTTAACGTTTGCAAATTTATTAACAATAAATGTGACAATTTAAAAAACTTAAAAAAAAAACCAAATTCTAACATCAAGAAAGCAAAATGAGATAGACATAATAATTACTTTATCTTGTTTTGTTTGAGCATGTAGACCACCTTCCAAGAAAACCTAAAAATAATTTGATGAACAAAATGTAACTGATAATTCATTAAATTATTTTGTGGACCATACTCAAGAAAAAGGAAAAAAACAAAAAGTGATTAATAGTCATAAATAATGATCATGTGATGAAAGCTCCAAATGCACTAAACATGTGTCTATAAATATAACATTGTCCTGAGTATTCCATTCATCCAAAATCAAAACACAAGATTAAATCACTTAGTGTCAAAATGAAGATTGTATTTGTATCATTTTTCATATTCCTGGCTGTGTCAGTCTGTACAACTGATGGCTTAACCTGTGAGGAGGAAAAAGCCTTACTGAAGCCATGCTTAGATTATCTAACCAAGAACACCGATTCCCCTTCAACTTCTTGCTGCGATGGGTTGAAACAAATAATATCTTCAACACCTACAAAGGAAGAAAAGATTGCTGCATGTAAGTGCCTAGAGGAATCAGGCTCTGACGTTCCTAACCTAGACAAAGACAGAGCCAATAATCTTCGCAAAGAGTGCAAAATCAATGTCTATAATTTCATGTCCGATGACTCTGATTGCGAAAAGTAAGACTTCTTTTTTTACTACTTATACAATTCGTGTTAATAGTTTTCATTCATTTGCTTTTTCCTCTCATTGCTTTTTTTTTTTTTTTTCAGAATTATAAGCTAGGAAAGGGTGGATTCTGCTGGGAATTTTCTATTTCTGTAACAGAATAACATTGTTTATTGAACTTCTGTCAACAAATATTTATGTTGAAATCAATGAATAATGAATATGCTTTATATATATATTGTTGCTGTTTTCTATTCACTTCTTTTCATCCAATTATGATCAATCATTTGTGTTTAATTTTCTTAACAGGATGCGTAGTAAAAAACAAAATTCTCCCAGGTAAAGAAAGAACTTAATAATATTTTTATGCTTACAATGTTATATTTAAACACTATCCATTTCATGTTTTTTTATGGAGTATTACGAAAATAGTTGGAAATTTTTTCTTCAACATTTTACTTAAGGCAGGAATCTTTGGACTTTACTGGTGTTAGTTCTTGTTTGTGAATTTTGATCCTTTTTTTTACCTTCCCACTAAGGCTTCTCTGTTTTTCCCATTCAGAATCATTTATTTTTGTTATATTCTGGGGCAAAATCAGAGAGTAAGAATTTTCATATACAAAAAGAACTGAAGGCTTACCTTTTGTCAATGACCAATACCTAACTTTACCACCATCTAATATATTAATTATACCCCTCTGATGATTTCAATTGTGTTTGTGTTTGAGAAAATTATATTACAATGACAAACAAATAAATGAATAAAGCAAAGACCAACAAATTGTAGCGTGTAAGTTACTCGGTAGGTAAGAGAGAGGATAGAGATGAGAGAAAAAAGAAAAAAAATTGAATAAGTAAGAAAAATGGATTAGAAGTAGGTGAGTGTTTTTGATTTTTTATTTATTTTAGGTTTAATGTCTCTGTAGGTTCTTATTTTGTTCCAGAATTTCAATTAAGTCCCCTTTTTTTTGTCGATTGAGTCCTCATTTTTATAAAATTGTAACAATTAAAGGCCTGCCGTCAAATTGGATAAACGGTCATTTAATTGTTTCGTTACGTGGCATGGACACCGTTTTCACTAATCGTGGAATTAAAAAAGAATTTAACCTCATATTTTTTAATACAAAACTCCTTTTTAATTCCACGTGTGATTAGTGAAAACAGTGCATATGCCACCTAACGCACAGTTAAACGACCATTTGTCCAATTTGACGACAGGCCTTTAATTGTTACAATTTTACTTTACAAAAATGAGGACTCAATTAAGACGACAAAAAGAAAGAAAACTTAATCGAGATTTTGGGCCAAAATAAGGACTTACAGATACATTAAAACTTTATTTTACATTAAAAATTAAAATTATTAAAATATTCTTTTGTTTAAAGTATGTCTTTTTTTATGAATAAGAATTTTTTTTTCTATTAAAACTTGGTACACTCTACTAACAAAAAAAACTTATACAAGTTAGCAAATATATATATATATATATATAATAAAATAAAATTTAGAAATATCAAAATAGAAGAATATATTGTTCAAAATAAAGGATTAATAAAAAAAATATATAATACTATTAAGATTAATATAATGTCATCTTATAAATAAATAAGAGTTTAACGTCACTCCCACTTAAATTACTAAATGAAACAAAAAGTTATAAGTCAAATTTATCATATTTTAAAAGGTTATGTTTATGTATGTTGAAATACTTTGGGAGTTTCATATCGACTAGAGATAAGACCAATTTATAATATATAAGTGAGTTTTTTGGGGGTTGAATTAGGCTTAAAGTCCACTTCTAACAATACTACTAAAGCGTAAGAAATACACAATAATATAGTTCTCTTATTTCTACTCTTATTTTTAAATATATTTCAAAACAATGAAACAAGTATATTAATATTTTAAAAAAATAATAATAAGAATAATTAAGCATGAATTATTGTAATTCCTTAGTCTTAATAATTTGTTCCTTGTACCAAGTTTTCTAAATGAAAATAGTAAAACATTTCGTGATCATCTGCTAATTTATTTTTGTTTCTCTCTTGTATCAAGTTTTCTAAAAAAAACAGTAAAACATTATGTGATCACCTACTAATAATATTTTATGAGAGGAAGTTGAGAATGGAAATTCAAAGAACAAAAAAGTTTTACAACTATGCTTTTCTTTTTATTCACGGCCTACACTATCCTATTTTTCCCTTCTTTTCACTTTCAATCACCTTTCATCTTTATCTATTTTTAGAAACTAATCCACTACGTATATATCGGAAACTTAAAGAGCCTTTTAGACAAAAGGGTTTTCGATGTAGAGTCTCTATTTTAGGGAACTCAATTTCATAAAGTTATGAACAAATTGTTTCGAGATAATGAAAGTTAGAAATATTGTCTGATACATATTTATGATATATTTAATATATGTATACTTTCATGTCTTTTTTACGTGAATTATCATAGTTTAAATATGATTTCTGTTATATATTTTAATCTTTTTATTTATTTTTTACAAATTTCTCATTGTTTAAAGTTATGAATTATTTTGATAATAAAATATGATTCTAAAACTTATTTTAAGTAATTTTTGTGAGTTAATGAAATGACTCTTAAATATCAAAATGTATTGGGGAGTTACTCCCTCCACCACCATGGTCTTTAGCCTACATCTCTTCAATTCTTTTTATTTCAAAACAAACCTTAAGTAACTTTTTCTTTTACTTTTATCTTATTTAATATAAAACTCTAATCTTATTCTCTTCCTTTTTTTCATTGTCGTCGCTAGCATACCCTACACCCCCTAGAGAACCTCTCTTTTCACTCTCTTCTTCTTACTCTCTTTCTCTTTTATTTCTCATTTATTCTTCTCACTTCTATTTCCTCCCTCCATTATTCCATTGCTTCCATTGTGCTGCGTCGTTTCTTCCATTGTGTCGTTGCTTCCATATGTTATATGTGTTGTGGAGTGATATGTTGTTGTATGAAATGATTGAAGAAAACATGCCAAAACGGATATGGAAGATAAGTTTGACCTTCATGTTCCATTAAGGTCTTTAACTATTTTTTAACCATAGTAAATACATTTTTATTGAAGGATAATTGAGGAACGGGGGTGGTGAAAGAAGTTGGGGTGGTGTAGGGAGAAACTCTCAAATGTGTGTAGTAAAACCAAATATCATTCATATTATTGGGTGGGTTACTCCCTAACCCACCACATTGCTCCATGTACTACCACAATTTTTAACAATTCCAAAACTATTTTGTATATTTTAAAAAATTCCACACCCTCACTTTTTTTCTTTAACGGATGTTGATATCCGTTAAAGAAAAAATTCTTCAACGAATTTCGATATCGGTTAACGGATGTGTCCACATCTGTTCAAGGTTTATGTTTTTTTTTTTTAATTTTAAGTTTATTAATTTATTGTATTTTAAATTAATATATAGATATTATTAAATTTTTTTAAAATTTGTTACATAATTATATATAAATTTATTTTATTTTATTTAATGAAATAATTATTATTAATTTAATTAAATTGTATTATTTTTTAATTGATTATGTTAAACGGATATGCCAAGTCCGTATGTGACCACATCGGTTCAAGGTTTATGTTTTTTTTTATTTTAGTTTTTAGTTTATTAATTTATTGTATTTTAAATTAATATATAGATATTATTTATTTATTTTTTAAAATTTTTTACGTAATTATATATAAATTTAATTTATTTAATTTAATGAAATAATAATTATTAATTTAATTAAATTGTATTATTTTTTAATTGATTATGCTAAACGAATATGTCACGTCGATGTGGCCACATCCATTCAAGGTTTATTTATTTTTTTAGTTTATTAATTTATTGTATTTTAAATTAATATATAGATATTATTTAATGTTTTTTTAATTTTGTTACGTAGTTATATATAAATTAATTTTATTTTATTTAATGAAATAATTATTATTAATTTAATTAAATTGTATTATTTTTTAATTGATTATGTTAAACGGATGTGACCACATCCGTTTAAGGTTTATGTTTTTTAGTTTTTAGTTTATTGTACTTTAAATTTAGGTATTTAATTTTATTTTGCTTTTTTATATTAGGTTATGTAATTATATGTAAATTAATTTTATTTTGTTTATGAAATAATTATTATTAAATATATACAAATAAAATAAAAAATACAAAAACAATATATATACAAATAAAAAACATCATTAAAATAAAATCTAAAATAAAAACAATAAACTAAAATAACAAAAAAAAAGTTAAAAGATGTATCCTTATGTGAAAATCCGTTCATGGATATCAACATCCGTTGAAGGTGAAACGGATGACGACATCCGTTTTACTGCGCAATAATTAAATGATAAGAAGGGCAAATTAGGCATGGGGGATATAGGGAGCATTTAGTGGTGGTTGTGAGAGCAACACTCTATTATTGGATGGGGTTGTAACTTTTACACATGGTCCATAACACATGTTTCCTCAATATGACCCTTGTGATTGATAATTAAAGCTGTTTTGTTAGAAAAATAACCTTTGCAATTTTGAGAGAAATTTGAATGTCACTTTGTTTTTGTTTGTTTTGAATTGTTTCGATAAAACTCATATTCTACTTTTTTAACCATTGGATCGACTTGAAACTTTTACATAGTTTGTCAATCATATTTCTTCAAACCAACTGTTCGGATCTTCTATTATATGTATTAAAGAAACTCGTGTTAGAGTTTAAGGAAGTCTCTAATATCATTATTTTGTTTTCAAAGGTGTTTATGTGAGAAACAAAATTTCACTTTTATAACGTTATGCGTTCAATGTCCAACCACTGAATAACCTAATAACAAAAAATGACTGGTGACATTTTTGCAAATAAAAGTTCCATTAAGAAGTCAGACTTAGACTTGTCTGACATCAATTAGTTATAAGACATCAAATATTATGAAGTCAGACGTCTTATTGTGTAAATTTCGCAAAAAACGTTTGGCGCGAAGGTGAAAATGTACTTACATATGATGTCGAATGTCCTAAAATTAGACGTCAAAAGATTATAAAACGTCGAATGCCATAGAATTAGACGTTAAAAGGTTATAAAAATTTAGGCGGGAGGTTGAAAATTGATTCAGTTTATTTTAGCGCTAGACCCTCTTCTCTGCTCAAATTTTTCTCAAACGAAGCTTGACGACCAACACATGTAATCTTTTTTTATTTTATACAAATACATGTTAATTAACTACTTTATGTATGATTTTCGTTTGTTTTGACAGATTGTTTTCGTGTTCTTCTTCTTCATATGCGCATTAAACTTTCTCTCTCACTAATGGTAACACTTTATTCCGACAAACCCACTTTTTCGAAGAATAGTTTTCGTTTTCATTTTCAAAAACTTGTTTATTGAACTTGTTTGTTGTTCATCTTACGCTACACATTATACATCCAAGCTTTAGGGTAGAACTAAGAATATATTGAAAACAATTCGAGATGATTTGAAAATTTGTTCAAAGCACCATAATATAATGAGAAACCCAAAAAAAAAAGTTTAGATCAAAATTCAAAATCAATTTGTGAAGAGAAGATATGTAATTCAATTATATTTCTTTTATAATCAGTTATAAACATAAACATTAATCAATTAATCGATTATAAAGATTCATAATTTTTTTTATCAAATTTCTTTGGATCTAATTATGATGAACCACTTGTGTTTAATGTTCGCAAATCTTGGGTCTAATCTAAAATAAATCCAATAGAAATAAACTATCATTTTATAGATGAAACTAGTTAGGCTTTAGAACATGAAATCAATATAGATTAATAATTCTTTTCAGATTTAATCATTTTCAAGATTTCTAATTTTACTGAGAAGTCTCAAATAGCTTCTCACTTATTTTTTTTCTCAATTGGGTTCCTATTTTTTAAAAATAAAAACAATTAGGTCATTGTCGTTAGTTCTGTACTAACACCACTAAAGAAAGTGTCACGTGTCAATTTGTGGCTTTTTTGAATTTTTGAATTATTTTTTTATTTTTTTTATTTATTTTTTAAAAATAAACTAAAAACAAAAATGTCATGTGTCATAATGACATTATGCCATGTGGTAATGACATTGTGACATGACACTGATAGTGTCATGTGTCACTGTTAGGCCACATGTCATTGCATTAGTCTCATTTTGGTCTTTGTATTTTTATTTTGTCTCAATTTGGTCCCTCTATTTTTATTTGGTTTCAATTTAGTCCTAATCTTAAAAATTAAACAATTTTGTCCCTATGCAAATTCAAACAAAATTTAATTTGTATATAAATCTTAACAAATATTTTTATTAAAATTGATTTTTTATTAAATATTTTTAATAAGAGTAAGTTTATCTATATTTTTTTAATTAATTATATGAATGTTAATTATGTTCTTTAAATATACCTATAAGAGTTAAAAGAAAACGATGACATAACATGGTGGTGTGAATTTTCCAAATGATTTAGCTTATTGAACAAATTATTTGATATGAAATTTCACTTTTTTTTAAATAAAAAATTGGAGAAATTTTTCGTGAAAACAGTAATTAAAGTTAGTTTCTTCTTTCATGATCTTCCATGAAAACTTTCTCCACAAAAAATTTATACCAACATGTTATGTCACTTTTTTTTAAACTCTTATAGGTATATTTAAATAACATAATTAACATTTATATAATTAATTAGATATAAATATAAATAAACTTAATCTTGATCAAAATATTTAATAAAAATATTTGTTAAGATTTATATACAATTTAAATTTTGTTTGAATTTGAGGAGAGACAAAATTGTTTAATTTCTAAAATTAAGACTAAATTGAGACAAAATAAAAATACACGGATCAAATTGAGACACAATAAAAATAGAGAGACCAAATTGAGACTAATGGAATGACACGTGGCTTGACAATGACACGTGACATTTTAAGTGTCATGTCACACTCTCATTGTCACGTGACACAATATCAGTTTAACTCATTGCATTTTTATTTTATTTTTAAAAAAATTAAAAATAAGTAAAAAATAATTAAATTTTTTAAAAAAACTACAAACTGATATATGACAACTCCTTTAATTGTATTAATATAGAAATACCGGGTCATGACCTAATTGTTTTAATTTTTAAAAAATAAAAACCCAATAAAAAAAATAAATGAAAACCTATTTGAGATTTCATAGCAAAATTAAGAAGTCGAAAATTATTAAACCTTCTTTTCACACAATATCGAGGAGATTTGTCAAAAGAAAGATATATAATTCCAATATATTAAAAGCATAAACTAATCAATTATTTAAAAATCTATAATCAATGTTGAATGATCGTTACTAATATAAACTATAAAAGAACATTTATAAATTTTAAATAATTATATTGTTAACTGTTTTTTAGTATGTTTTTATATTTTAATAAAATAGAAATATTAAAGTATTAAATAAAATAAAGTATTTTAATTTAATATTGTATTGATATATATATTTTATATTATAATTAGAAGTCAATAAAATAATAAATATAATAAAATTATACAGTTTAAATTTCTATTTTTTTAATTAATTAATTTTAATACATTCTTATTTTGAAAATAAATTTTTTATTTATTAAATTTTATCATTTTTAAAACAATTTTTTTATCATGAATTTCAATGAAATTATTTACAAACTTATCTTAATTTTTCTCATCTCTTACATAGAAGATAAAATTAGAAAATTCTTTTAGTTATAAATTTTAATACTTGAATTAACAAATAATTAATATTTGAATTAACAAATAATTAAAAAAAATATTTCTTTTCTTTGTTATTATTTTCATATTATTTCATCTTTGCTATTAGGTCTATATCGAGAGAGACACAATATCAATGATATATGAACCTAACCATATAAGATATTGAAATCATTCTCTACCCAAAACCTTAATGGATCTTTCATTTTTATATAGTGTTTTATTTTCTCATTTCTATCCAATGTGAGATTTGGATTCATACTTGAATTTCCAACAAATAATTCATACTTTATCTTGTTTTGTTTATACATCTAGACCACCTTTCAGGAAAACATAAAAATAAATTCATCATGATAACGTATCAAAACCATTTGAACAAACTAATTTGATGAACAAAATATAACTGATACTTCATTAAATTATTTTGGTGTCCATACTCCAAGAAAAAGGAAAAAAAACAAAAAGTGATTAATAGTCATAAATAATGATGACGTGATGAAAGTTAGGAATGCACTATGCATTGTGGCTATAAATATAACATTTTCATGAGTATTCCATCCATCCAAAATCAAAACACAAGAGCAAAATCACTTATAGATAAACCTGTTTGTCAAAATGAAGGTTGTATTTGTATCATTTTTCCTTTTTCTGGCTGTGTCAGTCTTGACAACTGATGGCAAAGAGTCATCAAAAGGCTTAACCTGTGAGCAGGAAGTAGCCTTAGTGCAGCCATGCGTGGATTATCTAACAAAGAAAACTGAGGCCCCTTCAACTTCTTGCTGCGATGGGTTGAAAAAAATCATATCTTCATCACCTACAAAGAAAGAAAAACAAGCTGCATGTAAGTGCCTTAAGAAAGCAGCCTCTGAAATTCCTAACCTATGCAAACAAAGAGCCAACAATCTTTGCAAAGAGTGCAAAATCAAGGTCGATAATTTCATACCCAATGATTTGGATTGCGAAAAGTAAGACTTCTTTTTTTATGTATACAATTCTTGTTGATAGTTTTCATTCATTTGCTTTTTCCTCACATTGCTTTTCCTTTTTCTTCTTCTTTCAGGATTGTTTAAGCTGAAGGCGATGCTAAAACAGTGGATTATACGTTATGGAATATGCTATTTCTGTAAACAAAATAAGATTGTTTGTTGAACTTCCTTCAATGAACATTTATGTTGGAAATTATCATTAATAAATATACTTTATACATGTTTTTGGTATATATTCTTCTTTTTTTCTTACAGAATTTTTTTCCATTTAATTATGATGAATCATTTGTGTTTAATGTTTGAGATCCATTAGCCTAATCCAAAATCAATCAAATGGAAATAAGACATCATTCTACATAGGAACTAGTTAGGCTTCACTACGTGAAGACATGAATATAAATTAATAGAGTCACTGAGTTATTGAAATTAAATTGAATCATAGAGATATAACTTAAAATAATACATAAATTTGATAATGTAAATATAAATTAAATAAAGAAGTACATAATTAAAATTTAATTTATTATGCTATATATATATATATATATATATATATATATATAATAAAGTAATTTTTAAATGCAAATAACTACCATAATGAAAAAATCATTTACACAATAAAAGAATTATCCATAATATTCTCTTGACTACTTTTTTTTAGTTATGTACAAATATTTTTATAACAATATATATATATATATATATATATATATATAATTCTTCAAAACAATGTTCGGACTTATATTATATGTATTAAAGAAACTCGTGTTAGAGTTTAAGGAAGTCTCTAATATCATTATTTTGTTTTCAAAGGTGTTTATGTGAGAAACAAAATTTCACTTTTATAACGTTATGCGTTCAATGTCCAACCACTGAATAACCTAATAACAAAAAATGACTGGTGACATTTTTGCAAATAAAAGTTCCATTAAGAAGTCAGACTTAGACTTGTCTGACATCAATTAGTTATAAGACATCAAATATTATGAAGTCAGACGTCTTATTGTGTAAATTTCGCAAAAAACGTTTGGCGCGAAGGTGAAATGTACTTACATATGTGTTCGAATGTCCTAAATTGAGAGTCAAAAGATTATAAAACGTCGAATGTCCATGAATTAGACGTTAAAGGTTATAAAAATATTAGGCGGGAGGTTGAAAATTGATCTCAGTTTATTTTAGCGACTAGACCCTCTTCTCTGCTCAATTTTTCTCAAACGAAGCTTGACGACCAACACATGTTAATCTTTTTTGTATTTTATACAAATAAATGTTAATTAACTACCTTGTATGTATGATTTTCGTTTGTTTGACAGATTGTTTTACGTGTTCTTCTTCCATAGCGCATTAAACTTTCTCTCTCACTAATGGTAACACTTTATTCCGACCCAAACCCCCTTTTTCGAGAATAGTTTTCGTTTTCAGTTTTCAAAAAACTTGGCGTTTACTTGACTTGTTTGTTGTTCATCTTACGCTACACAGTTATCATCCAAGCTTTAGGAGAGTAGTTTAACTAAATATATTGAAAACAATTCAGAGATGAGTTTGAAAAATTGTTCAAAGCACACCCATAATATAATGAGAAACCCAAAAAAAAAAGTGTTAGATCCAAAATTCCCAAATCCAATTTGTTTGAAGAGAAGTATGTAAGTTCATTTATTTCTTTTATAATCAGTTATAAACATAAACATTAATCAATTAATCGATTATAAAGATTCATAATTTTTTTTATCAAATTTCTTTGGATCTAATTATGATGAACCACTTGTGTTTAATGTTCGCAAATCTTGGGTCTAATCTAAAATAAATCCAATAGAAATAAACTATCATTTTATAGATGAAACTAGTTAGGCTTTAGAACATGAAATCAATATAGATTAATAATTCTTTTCAGATTTAATCATTTTCAAGATTTCTAATTTTACTGAGAAGTCTCAAATAGCTTCTCACTTATTTTTTTTCTCAATTGGGTTCCTATTTTTTAAAAATAAAAACAATTAGGTCATTGTCGTTAGTTCTGTACTAACACCACTAAAGAAAGTGTCACGTGTCAATTTGTGGCTTTTTTGAATTTTTGAATTATTTTTTTATTTTTTTTATTTATTTTTTAAAAATAAACTAAAAACAAAAATGTCATGTGTCATAATGACATTATGCCATGTGGTAATGACATTGTGACATGACACTGATAGTGTCATGTGTCACTGTTAGGCCACATGTCATTGCATTAGTCTCATTTTGGTCTTTGTATTTTTATTTTGTCTCAATTTGGTCCCTCTATTTTTATTTGGTTTCAATTTAGTCCTAATCTTAAAAATTAAACAATTTTGTCCCTATGCAAATTCAAACAAAATTTAATTTGTATATAAATCTTAACAAATATTTTTATTAAAATTGATTTTTTATTAAATATTTTTAATAAGAGTAAGTTTATCTATATTTTTTTAATTAATTATATGAATGTTAATTATGTTCTTTAAATATACCTATAAGAGTTAAAAGAAAACGATGACATAACATGGTGGTGTGAATTTTCCAAATGATTTAGCTTATTGAACAAATTATTTGATATGAAATTTCACTTTTTTTTAAATAAAAAATTGGAGAAATTTTTCGTGAAAACAGTAATTAAAGTTAGTTTCTTCTTTCATGATCTTCCATGAAAACTTTCTCCACAAAAAATTTATACCAACATGTTATGTCACTTTTTTTTAAACTCTTATAGGTATATTTAAATAACATAATTAACATTTATATAATTAATTAGATATAAATATAAATAAACTTAATCTTGATCAAAATATTTAATAAAAATATTTGTTAAGATTTATATACAATTTAAATTTTGTTTGAATTTGAGGAGAGACAAAATTGTTTAATTCTAAAATGAAGACTAATTGAGACAAATAAAAAAGTACCACGGACTCAAATTGAGACCACAATCCCCAAAAATAGAGCAGACCCCCATTGGGACTATGCAGAACGTGAGTGAATGGGAAACGGACGGAGTGGGCTGCAGCGCAGAGAACTTGACAAAAAACGGAATTATATGCAATGTCAAAAAAAAAAAAAAAACTCCCCTCAAAAAAAAAAAAAAAAAAAAAAAATTGTAAACTAAAAATATCGTGTAACGATTATGAGCCATTTTTATTTTATTTTGAAAAAAATTAAAAATAAAGTAAAAAAAATAATTAAATTTTTTAAAAAAACTGACAAAAACTGATATATGACAAAACTCCTTTAATTGTATTAATATGAAATACCGGGTCATTGACCTAATTTGTTTTAATTTTTAAAAAATAAAAACACCAATGAAAAAAAATAAAAATGAAAACCTATTTGAGATTTCATAGCAAAATTAAGACAGTCGAAAATTTATTAAACCTCTTTTCACCAATATCAAAGGAGGAGATTGTCAAAAGAAAGAGATATAATTCCAATATATTAAAAGCATAAAACTAATCAATATTTAAAAATCTATAATCAATGTTGAATGATCGTTGAACGAAATAAAACAATGAAAAGAACATGGGAAAAATTTGTGAAAAAATATATTGTTGAAACGTGGGTGGAGTAGGGTTTGATATTTAAAAAAAAATAGAAAATAGAAAGTATAAATAAAAAAAGATTAAGAGTGAAGGTATGAAGGGTAAGAGATAAGATTTATATTGATGAATTAGAAGTCAATAAAAATAATAAATATAATAAAAAATTAGGAAAGTTGAAATTCTATTTTGGTTAATAATTAATTTTAATACATGCTATGTTAAAATAAATTTTTATGTATGGAAATTTTACATGAAAACTAATTGTTGTAGTAGAATTTGCAATGAGAATATTTACAAACTTATCTTAATTTTTCATCTCTTACATAGAAAGATAAAATTAGAAAATTCTTTTAGTTATAAATTTTAATTTACTTGAATAATTAACAAATAATTAATATTTGGAATTAACAAATAATTAAAAAAAAATATTCTTTTCTTGTTATTATTTTTCATATTATTTCATCTTTGTATTAGGTCTATATCGAGAGAGACACAATATCAATGATATATGAACCTAACCATATAAGATATTGAAATCATTCTCTAACCCAAAACCTTAATGGATCTTTCATTTTTATATAGTGTTTTATTTTCTCATTTCTATCCAAATGTGAGATTTGGATTTCAACGTGGAATTTCCAACAAATAATTCATACTTTTCTTGTTTTGTTTATACATCTAAGACCCACCTTTCAGGGAAAACAAAAAAACAATTCAATCATGATAAACGTGATCAAAACCATTTGAACAAAAAACTAATTTGATGAACAAAATATAACTGATACTTCATTAAATTATTTTGGTGTCCATACTCCAAAGAAAAAGGAAAAAAAACAAAAAGTGATTTAATAGTCATAAATAATGATGACGTATGAAAGTTAGGAATGCAACTATGCATGTGGCTATAAAAATAAAAAACTTTTTAATGAGTATCCATCCAATCAAAATTCAAAAACACAAGAGCAAAACACTTATAGATAACCTGTTTGTCAAAATGAAGGTTGTATTTGTATCATTTTTCCTTTTTTGGCTGTGTCAGTCTTACAACTGATGCGCACAAGAGTCATCAAAAGGCTTAACCTGTGAGCAGAGAAATACCTTAGTGAGCCATGCTAGGATATCTAACAAAGAAAACTGATGGCCCCTTCAACTTCTTGCTGCGATGGGTTGAAAAAAATCATATCTTCATCACCTACAAAGAAAGAAAAACAAGCTGCATGTAAGTGCCTTAAGAAAGCAGCCTCTGAAATTCCTAACCTATGACAAACAAAGAGCCAACAATCTTTGCAAAGAGTGCAAAATCAAGGTCGATAATTTCATACCAATGATTTGGATTGCGAAAAGTAAGACTTCTTTTTTTATGTATACAATTCATTGTTGATAGTTTTCTTCATTTGCTTTTTCCTCACATTGCTTTTCCTTTTTCTTCTTCTTTCAGGATTGTTTAAGCTGAGGCGATGTAAACAGTGGATTATCGTTATGGAATATGTATTTCGTAACAAATAAGATTGTTTGTTGAACTTCTTCAATGAACATTTATGTTGGAAATTATCATTAATAAATATGACTTTATACATGTTTTTGGTATATATTCTTCTTTTTTTCTTACAGATTTTTTCCATTTAATTATGATGAATCATTTGTGTTTAATGTTTGAGATCCATTAGCCTAATCCAAAATCAATCAAATGGAAATAAGACATCATTCTACATAGGAACTAGTTAGGCTTCACTACGTGAAGACATGAATATAAATTAATAGAGTCACTGAGTTATTGAAATTAAATTGAATCATAGAGATATAACTTAAAATAATACATAAATTTGATAATGTAAATATAAATTAAATAAAGAAGTACATAATTAAAATTTAATTTATTATGCTATATATATATATATATATATATATATATATATAATAAAGTAATTTTTAAATGCAAATAACTACCATAATGAAAAAATCATTTACACATAAAAGAATTATCCATAATATTCTCTTGACTACTTTTTTTAGTTATGTACAAATATTTTATAACAATATA